TAAGTGTATTTTTTCGATACTTTTTGTATTTTCATAGCCCCAGATTTCACATCCATATAATAAAATTGGTGACACAAGTGCATCAAATAATTTCAGTTGAAGATCTACAGGAATGGAAATATTTCTAATCTTAATATACAATGCATATAAAGCTTTTTTTGCTTGCTCTGTTAGTTTACTTTTGGCTTTTGTAAAAACACCATTGTAGTTTAATATTATTCCAAGATATGTGTACGAATCTTGTATTTCTAAAATCTCATTATTTAACGTAAAGTGATGGTCTCTTTTACTTTTTCTTTTTTCAAAAATCAAAACTTTAGTTTTTTGTGTATTAACTGTTAATTTCCATATATTACAATAATTTTGGAATTCATTCAATGCGTTCTGTAGGCCATCTGGTGTTTCTGATAAAAGCACTGTATCATCAGCATATAATATAATAAACAATTTTAAGTACAAACCTAAATTTTGATCACTAAGAGCATACACTTCATTCAAACAAGAAACATTACGTTGATTGAGGAAATCCTCTAAATCGTTAAGAAAGAGGGAAAACAAAAATGGCGATAAGTTTTCTCCTTGTTTTACCCCGACATTGCACATGAAAAAGTCGGATGTATCATTACCATTTATTACGCATGATTTGGTATTTTGATATAAATTATAAAGGACTTTAAATATTTTGCCCGTAATGTTACTATTTTGTAATTTTTTCCACAAGCCTGCTCGCCACACCGTATCAAAGGCCTTTTTAAAATCAACGAATGAACAATATAACTTCTTACCCTTTGAAAAATATAAAGAAATTAGGGAATGCAATATAAAAATGTTTTCATTAGTGGAATATCCCTTTCGAAATCCCGCTTGGGCGGAGGATATCAGGTTTATCTTATCAGATAATTTTGTTAGTCTACCATTAATTATAGAGGTAAATACTTTTCCCAAGCATGACACCAGAGTTATCGCCCTATAATTATCCGGATCGCCCTGGTTACCTTTATTTTTGTATATAGGTTTAATAATACCAACTGTCCATTCTTGGGGTATTAACCCAGTGTTGAGAATGATGTTGAAAAAATCTATATATAAAGGCAAAAACTGATTGAGAGTATTTTTTATATATTCATTCCGTATTTCATCGATTCCGCTCGCTTTATTATTTTTTAGGCTTTCTATCGATCGAATAATTTCCGTTTCGGTAATTTCAGCATTGAGATCTTCAGAGACTTCATCGTTATCGATATCTTGTAGAAGTCCTTCATTATTATCTTCCTCATAGCTAGCTGAATTTAAATTTTTAAAATAGTTATATAGTTCGTTTATTGGTATATTAGCTTTTGACGATTTGGGTTTACCCGAAAACCTATTTAGAATATTCCATAGGAATTTTGGACTCTCCTTTACTGAATCTCTTATTTTCTTTTCCATGTTGAATGCATAGGTTTTGTATGCTTTATTTACCTCTTTCCTGTAATTACGACTTTTCCTTTTCAAGGCGTGCTTGTTAACATCATTTTTTAATTTACGATAGTTCTGTTTGGCTTTGTGAAATTCTTTTCGAAGCTTTTTACAATTTGATGTAAACCATGGTTTGTTATTTTCATGAATATTTCCGCGGTAAACAGATTTGCGACCGAATGACTGGTTGGCGGACGTAGTAAATATATCTGTGATATTTTTAGTTACATCATTAATTTCTGCATTAGTTATTTGGTCGGTTTCCTTAGCTTTCAAATTTTTAACATACTCGTTCAGCGTAGCAAGTTTATTATCATGATCATCTGCAATAAGATTAGTTAACGAGTTACTTAATTGATCCTTCCATTTCACGTAACCACCGTTTTTGTCGGTTGCATAAGGATTTTCGTGTAGAGTATTTATGAGTTCAGACGCCCCTTCGAACTTAAATTCAATACAACTATAGTTATAGTGTCGTACACAAACACAGATACACAGATTTTACTCTGACTGCAGGACTTAAAAATCCCCTTCTATCAGCTCAATACGGTTTGAATAAATTCTGACAAGAGCATGGACATACAAAGTATTATCTGAATTATTTAAATAACATTAATCATTAATAGTTAGGGTGAAACGTAAATTGTCCTTCCATTTCCAATTAGAGTAATTAGCGTTCACAACGTGTGTGATAATTAATTATCAGAAAGTATATTCAGTTCATTTTTTTGTTACCTAGAAAAGAAATCGTGTAAGTTGTGAAAAGGATCCGCATTTGAATAAATCATAAATTATACAAAATTTCATGACATCTGCCTCGTATAGTAATTGTATAATGAACAAAATCAATGTAACAAAGAAATCAGGCACTGAAAGGCAATTTTATAAACATATATAACAACGTACACACATAAATAAAAATAAGGACCAATAGTTATAATTATCAAAACCTATTGCTGGATTTGGTGTAATGATGCGCTTGTCTAAAAATGTTTGTGTTGGTTTCTACCGAAAGTTGAGTATTACCAAACAAAAGTTATTCTAAATCAAAATCAACATGCAAGGCATTCAAATTTTTGAGCAGGATGCGTAAAGTAATAACTCCCCAAAAAAATGAAAGGCATTTTCACAGGGATGGCCAAGTACCTGGTAACAATTTAGTGGCTCTTCTCTGGACGTTTTCAATGGCTTCTATATGTTTTGTCAGATGCGGGCTCCACACTTCGTTGGCATTTTCAAGATGAGGTCTAACGAGTCCTTTGAATAGAGCTTAGAATGTATTATAGTCCATATATTCATTAGTGTTGGATATATAACGTTAAATCTTCGTCATTCTGGGTGTGAACTGTACACCGCAGTAGATAGAGTTAATGTGAACTGTACACCGCAGTGGATAGATTTAATGTGAACTGTACACCGCAGTGGATAGAGTTAATGTAAACTGTACACCGCAGTAGATAGAGTTAATGTGAACTGTACACCGCAGTAGATAGAGTTAATGTGAACTGTACACCGCAGTAGATAGAGTTAATGTGAACTGTACACCGCAGTAGATAGAGTTAATGTGAACTGTACACCGCAGTAGATAGAGTTAATGTGAACTGTACACCGCAGTAGATAGAGTTAATGTGAACTGTACACCGCAGTAGATAGAGTTAATGTGAACTGTACACCGCAGTAGATAGAGTTAATGTGAACTGTACACCGCAGTAGATAGAGTTAATGTGAACTGTACACCGCAGTAGATAGAGTTAATGTGAACTGTACACCGCAGTAGATAGAGTTAATGTGAACTGTACACCGCAGTAGATAGAGTTAATGTGAACTGTACACCGCAGTAGATAGAGTTAATGTGAACTGTACACCGCAGTAGATAGAGTTAATGTGAACTGTACACCGCAGTAGATAGAGTTAATGTGAACTGTACACCGCAGTAGATAGAGTTAATGTGAACTGTACACCGCAGTAGATAGAGTTAATGTGAACTGTACACCGCAGTAGATAGAGTTAATGTGAACTGTACACCGCAGTAGATAGAGTTAATGTGAACTGTACACCGCAGTAGATAGAGTTAATGTGAACTGTACACCGCAGTAGATAGAGTTAATGTGAACTGTACACCGCAGTAGATAGAGTTAATGTGAACTGTACACCGCAGTAGATAGAGTTAATGTGAACTGTACACCGCAGTAGATAGAGTTAATGTGAACTGTACACCGCAGTAGATAGAGTTAATGTGAACTGTACACCGCAGTAGATAGAGTTAATGTGAACTGTACACCGCAGTAGATAGAGTTAATGTGAACTGTACACCGCAGTAGATAGAGTTAATGTGAACTGTACACCGCAGTAGATAGAGTTAATGTGAACTGTACACCGCAGTAGATAGAGTTAATGTGAACTGTACACCGCAGTAGATAGAGTTAATGTGAACTGTACACCGCAGTAGATAGAGTTAATGTGAACTGTACACCGCAGTAGATAGAGTTAATGTGAACTGTACACCGCAGTAGATAGAGTTAATGTGAACTGTACACCGCAGTAGATAGAGTTAATGTGAACTGTACACCGCAGTAGATAGAGTTAATGTGAACTGTACACCGCAGTAGATAGAGTTAATGTGAACTGTACACCGCAGTAGATAGAGTTAATGTGAACTGTACACCGCAGTAGATAGAGTTAATGTGAACTGTACACCGCAGTAGATAGAGTTAATGTGAACTGTACACCGCAGTAGATAGAGTTAATGTGAACTGTACACCGCAGTAGATAGAGTTAATGTGAACTGTACACCGCAGTAGATAGAGTTAATGTGAACTGTACACCGCAGTAGATAGAGTTAATGTGAACTGTACACCGCAGTAGATAGAGTTAATGTGAACTGTACACCGCAGTAGATAGAGTTAATGTGAACTGTACACCGCAGTAGATAGAGTTAATGTGAACTGTACACCGCAGTAGATAGAGTTAATGTGAACTGTACACCGCAGTAGATAGAGTTAATGTGAACTGTACACCGCAGTAGATAGAGTTAATGTGAACTGTACACCGCAGTAGATAGAGTTAATGTGAACTGTACACCGCAGTAGATAGAGTTAATGTGAACTGTACACCGCAGTAGATACAGTTAATGTGAACTGTACACCGCAGTAGATACAGTTAATGTGAACTGTACAGTGTATTACTTACCCACCGGATACACGTCCCATGTATGTAGTCTTAATGAGCCGAATGTCAATGCTTTTGATTTTAATTATTGTCAGTCTCCGCTTTTGATTTGTACTAGGACGTTAATCACATTTATGTAAATGGTTTGTCACGGAGTTCACTTTACAATTGATATATAAAATATTAATACTAAAATTCATTATGTGGTTTGACATTTTTGTAAAATGTATATGTTCCTACTTTGTGTGAAGTGTGAAACCAGCCATCGTATTACTCTAGTATATGCTTAGGTCTTACATACTTATACGTAGTATACCGCCACATGCGGACGGATACCTTGTTGTTAATATGCAAATTAAGCGCGTGGTGAGTATCCATGTACATATGTTGTGAGCATTATCTTACAGTGAACAGGTGCGCAGGTACACCATGGAGAGAAAGTCCAGCCTATATAGCTAGGCTGTTTTACTACAAAGAGCCGTTACACCTCATCAACGTGGAGGAAACATAGCTACAGTGTTGTGCTAAAAACAACGTTACCGTGAAACAATGTGGATTGTTACAGTGGTGGTGTCGTCACTGGCCCTGGGGTTAGGACGGGCCCAGGCTGGTACCGAAGCTGAGGGCGTACAATTCCTGGAAGAGTACAATGCGAAGGCTGGCATGGTTTTAAACAAAAACGTCAAAGCATCCTGGAATTATTACACCAACATCACAGAGGAAAATCTCGATATCATGGTGAAGTGTTCAATTTTGTTTCTTTATTTTTTTCTTTTATATAAAATTCTAATTCGATTAAAGCTTTTCATATAATACATTTTCCTTCATTCGCTGGTCCTCATTTCATCACCAAAAAACCCACTTGCACTGTTTTTGGTCTGCTTTATGCATCTTCTTCTTCAACTAAATATATCTGTATCGGCCAATATATACCTTGTCAAAATAACCACAATAAACTCAATTTTGTCGGAGGTTTCATAAATGTGGCCAGTAACTACAACAGACTGGCTACCAGCCTTTAAGTTTTTAAGAAGAAATTCTAAACTGCATTTTACTACTAGTTTATCTCCCCTAGTTTAGAACTTGGGATCAGACATCCAAGTGATCAAAATTATTAGAGTTATTTTTTTTCTAAATAATTTAATATCTTATAATATTCTAGAGACGGGGGCCAGTCTATAACTGCAAACGTAGTTGGATTTTGTCGAGAATTGTCAGTTCTGCTAATTCTGTTAATTTATTTCACAGCGCAGTATTGGTCCGTAGACGCCTTGACACATTTTTATTATTAATTTACATTCATTTTGATAGTGGAACACTGCCTGATAGAACACAGGTGGTCTTTTTTTTTTTATCATAATCGCCTTTAAATGGGCATGCCATAAAACAGGGTCCATTGTGGTTTAATGATGTCTGGAGTTAAATTCTGATCTGGATTCATTGGTCGCAAACCAATTTGTTTCCGTGTTTCTTTTTGATTTTTGTTTTTTTGTTTTTTGTTTCCTTTTCTGTATCCCTGAATATCGATCGGTAAATGCCATTGAATTTACGTTTCGGTAAAGTGGTAAATCAATATGACAGTTTGTATAAGACTATAGGAATGATAACCATAGCTCATGATCAGACTGAATCTCAATGTAACCGACTGCTTTATAAAGGCTCCGACATGTTTGTATACCACGAAATTTTCACTTCAGTTTAATTTTCGCCTCTTTGATGAGAGCGAACTTTTCATAACAACAAACATTTGTAAACAACATATACATATTAATTAAGGATGTACACCTATGAGAAGTAAAAAAAATCCTGTATTAAACTTTTTTTCTTATATTGATTTTTGGAAAAGGAGATAATGGCATAGTAGAAAAGGAAAAAATAACTATATGTCGTTGTGTTCGTTTATCATAGATATCTATGAATGTTTGTAGAATTGATAAAAATATAATTTCTTTGAAACTATGGAAGTAAAATTTCTTAATCTTATTCATTTTACTCAGAAATGCGATTTTAGTTACCCCTACCCCTTATTTTTTAATGAAAAATTGCACATTTTCCCCCATTTTTTGCAGATTAAACGCTTGATATAAAAAAAATCCTGTAATAAACGTTTTTTAGTATTCAATGAATCAAAAAAAAAGTGTTTCTTCTAAAACAGCCACAAAAAGGGGGGTCGGTGTGCTTCTTTTTTTGTCCAATTATTATTTGTTATTTTTCACCTTTTTCGGGGTCAAAAATCAAAAGTGCTTCAGTTACCCTAATACGTAAAAAAAAATATCAATAATAATTATATAACTTTCCACTTTTTTGCATATTATTTTAATCATATTGAACATCATAAAGTTGTTCAGCAAAAATGAACCTGCTACAATTAAAAATGGTGACACAATGACAATTTAACTGATCAATCTAGTGTCAAAAAAAATGAAATTTTGGCCCTTTGTGAAGCGCAAGAAATTCCCATAAATACACTTTTTCAAAACGGCCGCCAAATTGGTCATTTTTAAAAAATTCTTGTAAAAAATGATCTACACACAACAGACATCTAGTTTTTTTCCTGTTTTTCCAGATGTGTGTTTGCTATTATACCTATCATAATTTGTTAATTATTACAAAAACCCGTTACACTAGATCAAAACGAGACTTGAACGTGACTGAAACCTCAGAAGAGTACATCCTTAAATGTAAAGGGAGAATTCAGAATTTATTATTGGGCAAAAACAGATTTTACCGTCGAAGGGCGAAACTAGTTGATGTCCAATTGGTTCCCTTACGTACATGTTAAGACTGTATGTTCATGCCTATCTATTATACTGACATATATCATGCGATACGAGTCTTTTAAACTAAGCCGCTGATTTAGCCTAAGGGAGGATGTAACCTACCTTCAAATTGTATCTTTATCAGCGGTATATTGTCTTTTGCAGTTTTGCTGATACAACTTGTCCCCGCAATTAGCATGTTTTACGCTTCCTTTTTAATTTACAATCGCAATCATAGGATTATGATACTAATCGCCGTTAAAAAATACAAAATTGGTCAGATCTGTTGAACGTAACAAGTTTTCAACAATAACTAGCTATCATTTACATAAAACACTCTTTGTAAAGTATCGAAAGACTTTTTCTACGTCCTTCTAAGGAGGGGTGAATTAAAGTATCACGTGAACGGGCGTACAGTGACCTCTCGATATATACTGAGTAGTTATTGACAATTTAACTCCAAAATGTATAGGAATGTCATTTACCGTCAAAGCTAGGAAAGGGTTGATTACCTCAATCAAACACACTGATTTGAAGTAAAGTTTTGAGTTTAGACTTTGATGTACAGTGTCGGTGGGAAGTGCAGTTAACCCCACTACACAAATGGTTGATCTCAAGCTCACAAGCTAGTGCACTAGTGTTATCGTTTCTTGATAACTCCAATGTACTAGGTTAGCAAGTTTTATATCAATGGATTAACATCAACCTTAGTAAGAAGGTTAATTTACGTAAAAACTCGGACAAGTTCGGCAAACACTTTTATCTTACATTTCTTTTCCGAGTTATGGACTCTTAATTACGCTGAATTTGTTCGCGCTGAATATCTTAGTAACTTTAAACTTACCTGACACTTTATAACGAGGTTTTATACCATTAAAACCTGGGAAAGTCTGATTAACATTTTTATATGCCTGTAATTAATGGAGGTCAACAAACAACTGATCACTTTGTACATGACAATTGTAGTATGTGTCTCGTCAGGTACCTAATCGTAATGATATCGGATTGTCTAATTATATATTTATGCATTTCAGTATAATGTATGGATACGCAATTACACATATACATATAATATCTTTTGTCTAATGTTTTGTTTCCACAGCAAATGATGTAACTACACATTTAATTTACAATTATCATTGGAGGAATAATAACATGACGAAGTAGGGGCTATTTTCCCAACAGTCGGGTTATGGTTGCTGACCTGTCACATAAGTATAAAACTGAATATTGTTTTACCCTGTCTAAGTTATGCGTTATTGACTAATGAACTAAACTATCATGATTTATTAACATCAGCTTTCGACACTGCGCTAGACTATGTTTTATAGTACCTCCAAAATAATTAGTTTTTTTTATATTTTCGTTCATGATATTGTTTTACTATGTAAGGCGAACTATGAATGTATTAGGATTAATTACTTTGGCAGATTGCATCAACAATGGGTGCTGCTTGGTGTTGTTTCCCTCTTCCCCCACGCGCTGTTGAAAATCATCACAGATTTCAGATAATTGATTTCCGCACCCGCTACATCGACTCTACATCCTTTAGCTAGACGTATAAGAAAGTGGATGTTGGTCCATGTTATTAACACGGTATTGAGGATTTGGAACAAGAACAATTTTAACATTTACTGATCGTTGTTATACCCAGTGTTATAACAACAATAACACATGGAGGATAAGATGAGGACAAAACCATACCGAGACAAGACCAGACCACTGACCTATTTATTATACTATGGAATTAAATTGTTTATCTTTCTCCGGGAGACAGTGGTTGAAGAGAGCCAAATGTTGAGATATAGGAGAAGGGAGAAACACATTAAGGTCATATGTGGGATTCTTAGACCACCCCTGTTCCATCAGGAAGATAAGCGTTATCAAAAGGAATGTAATAACAAGTGTAGAAGCAAGATATTTACTGACCAAAACTGCACTGTCAAACATTAAAAGAAAAATTTAGCAAAGACAGACAATGACGAAATTCATCACTTTGACAAAATCCACCTACCCATAACTATGTTCATAACATCATAAAAAATCCTTTTACAAAAATTAGTAACAAGGCGTATATGGGACGGTGTCGTCTCACGTTACAGGTAAGGTGTTGCGTGTATGCTTGGTGAGATTTGGTGTCAGTAAGAGAACAGTACAGTCCATTTATAAATGCATGCTCTCCGAGCACGGGAACATGTACCAAATAAATAGAGTAAATTGGCAATACCGAGCTGATTTAAATATCACACAAACAACTAAAACTAATATTTTTTGTTTTCCAAATGTTCCTATATGATACATGTAGCTACATTGTATGAACCACTGAAACAGGATCCCGGAAGTTTACAGATTAAATAACACAGAAAGCTATGAGCTGAAAGCTGTTTTAATTTAAAGATGAGCTGCCTACCAGTGTTGTTTATTTTAGCTATCTTAGCCGGTGCCCATAACCGGCCGAAATAGGAGATTGACCAGACATCAAAACCATTTACTTTAGATGATTGTAAAGCGGCCCTGGTCAGCCGTGGGATCTAGAACGTTTGTCAACATTTTAATTGTAGACGCGGGATCGACTTCATTTGTAACAACTATTCTTTGATGTGGACATTTATTTACATATTATGTATATAAATTTCGTTTCATGTCATGCGATTTCATATAAATATATTTCATTGAAATTGAGCGTGATCATTTGCGAGGGACATCGTATCGTAACTCTGTTATAGGCTAACAGCCATTGCTTCAAACTTTTAACGTTATTGTATATATTTCATAAAACTAGGTATCAATTTAACGAAATGAATTATCATTACTTAAAACAGTTGTTTTGATATTGTTCATTTGTGGGTAAGCGTCAAATTTTGTGTGGCATGTTTGTATGTGAAATAGAAATGGAATTATGTTACAGTTATTCATTATTGTAAAAAACGAATAAACAATAACTGTCCAACATTTCTCTGCTTTAAAGAGATACGTTCG